CTTTCTGACTTTGTGTCCTTTTTCTTTTGTACATGTTCAAATATAAATACAGTGTATATAAACTAGAACTTCATAAAGCTTTGAGAAAAATATACTGGTACTATTATACTACATTGTAAGTGTAATACTGTGATGTAAGATATTGCAATAGAGACAATATTGTACAAAAATAAACTTGACAACAAGACTTAATACAATAAGACTTTTAGTTCTGTTAGTAATAATTCCAACTTGAAACAGTTACTTTGAACAACATATCAAACAAAAATATAAAACATGACTAAAACTAAAAGGCCAAACAGAAACTGAATGGACAGTTTTCACATGCTGAATAGTAAGCAGTGCTAACTTACCTCAAACATAATCAACTCTGAAAAAAAACTATTCAACACTACTGAAATATAAAAAAGGTTCTGAACCTGAGGAATACAAGCTTAAGTTATGGTAAAACCTGCTTTTGCACTTGCTTAACCTTCTCCCTGCTGCCTAACCCTGTAACAAACACACACGCGGTGCCAAACAGCTAATAAGCAGTCAGAAGGGTTAAAGATAGGCATGCAAAGGTAGGTATTTCAACTGTTGCCTGGTCTGAGAAGCACACAGCACTACATTTTGTAGCTGCCTTTCCAAAAATTACTTTGATGGCTATCGACCTAGACTTGGGGAGGCCTGTTGAAGCTGGAAATCTCAAGTTTTCTTATCGATCAGCCTGCTTCTTCCAGCTCAGTTAGAAACTCACACAGGCCCTCCTGGTCATTCTCATCTCCCTCCGGCTCCAAATCTTCCTCCAGCTCCCCCTTTCTGTTTCCTGTGAACTGCAGTGTGACAGGCCAGTTCCTCTCCTGGGCGCCGGCCTTGAACGACCCCTCCACAAACTGTCTGCCGTCACCGTCCTCCCCAACTCTCACTCGCAGCAGGCCGGTTACTCTGGGGGGATTCACACACAGTTAGCAAAACCACCTCTCACTCGCAGGAGGCCGGTTACTCTGGGGGTTCACAAACAGTTAGCAAAAATAACTCTCACCCGAAGGAGGCCGGTTACTCTGGGGGTTCACACACATGGGTTCGCATAAAAAAGAATAACCAGAACAGTCTGAAATCAAGTTTGGACTAATTTCCAACACAAGACATGGGACTTACCTGTGTTGATTATGGTAAATTATCCAAATGTTTGACTGAACAACTCCAGTCTGAACCCTTCACTTCATCCTCCTTCCTTGACAAAGACTGGAGATGGTCAGTCAAAAAATTCTGCTGTCGACTTCTACCAACACAGATGAACAGTCAAGCTAACACGTGGGACCACACAAAGGATTGGTGGTGAATTACGCGTCAAGTCTTCACCACAGCAGCTAGTTACTGTGGCACATCTATTTTCCTAGGAGGTATGAGGAAAAGTAATTTCTATGCAGAGAAGTTCTACTAGCAACTTAAAGTTTACATTTTAGAGACAGAAGAGAACAGTCAGTGGTGACACAAATAGAGAGCTTGTAACATATTCAGTAATCTGCAGATTGAAACAGATGGTTAACGTGCCTAATACAATAAAAATAAAAAAAGACACTGTGAGATGTTTTACCTCCTCCCACAGAACTTCCACTTGGTCTCTATCTGCATGACCCTGTCTTCCACGCTGCTCTTCCCTTTGAAGTTCTGCAGGCCGCCGAAGTAGACTCCGTCCCCAAAGTCGACGTAGTCCTCGTAGTCATCGAAGTACGGCCCGCCAACCTCATCGATCTTCAGCTCACCTGTGGTACAGACTTCAGCTGAGTTTTCTGGGTGGGAATAGCCTGGCACTAGCCTGGCACCACACTAGCTCCATATCACAACAATTGCTACTCTGGACAGAATCATCTGCATGCCCCCCCCCCCATCCCCATTGCAATGTTTCGGCTCTGCATTATTTGGGGAATTGAATATTTCTCACAGGCGATGTACAAGCATACAGCCAAACACGAGTGCTACAATGCGGAGTGCCTCAAGGCAGCTGTTTGGGACCACAACTTTACAGTATCTACGTCAATGACATGGCAGGAACAGTAGAAAATGGGGAACTGGATCAGTATGCAGACGACAGTACAGTACATACAGCAGGGCATACAGTACAGGACATAAAAGCCAAGGCTCTTGTGGATTTAGAATGTGTGGCTAAATGGTCGGACTACAACAGGCTCAAACTTAACAATGGCAAAACAAAGACCATGCTAGTGGGAACTTCTAGGAAGACATTTTAGGCTTGCCCCTGCTCTACAGCTGGAACTCAGGGGGCAGAGTTTGGAGCAAGTGCCTACCGTCAAACTTCTGGGAGTTCATGTGGACCAAAGCCTCACATTCGACGATCACATAGACCACGTAGTAAAGAAATGCAACAGGTGCATGGCCCAAGTGGGTAAGGGTGAGAAAAATCAACTTCCGCGCAAAACAGAAGGGCAGCACTGATGCAAGCCCTGGTACTTTCCACCTAGACTACTGTAGTTCAGTGTGGGCAAGTACGTC